GTAATGTGCCCTGTCGGATTGCTCGTTGTCTCAGCTTCATGAGGCGCATTTTGGAGTTTGAATCCGATGCCTCTACGCTGAGCAACATGAAGTCTACCTCGAAGTCTCAAAAAGTGCACAAACAATTGGTCCCTTACGTTATATCTTTCGCGCTGAGTGTTTGGTTTTGGTTCCAACGTGGTCAAACTTCCGTGTCTCAGTTGATCTCGTCTCGTAGCTACTACGATTGGTTTGTACGGTGCCTCGTTTGAGTTCGATTTGCCCTGCAATTTGCTTGATTGTACCGCGAGATTACAATCCGAAGCTCATACGTTCTGTCAGAGACTCTTGGTAGCTGCACTGAGTTCTCGTGTCTGTCGTGAGGGTGAACTCATGGCGGGAAGGTCAAGAGTGCGAAATCATACCCGTGGCATAATTCAGATTTGAAGTGTCATTCAAAATTCGATCTGATTTGATCTGATGGCGCTCGGGCCTTGTTGATATTGACCGCCTAAACTCCATTATGGTGCTTCTATGTCTTTTTTATATTGGACTGGATTGTACAGTACCTTCACTTCTTAATTTTTATTTGATTTTCTTTTTTGATGATATCAAGCATCAAGTTTGGGCAATAATGAATCTTTGGGTCACATGGAATCCTTATGGTGGCAGTAGTTGCTAATAGAGGAAGAATTTGATGAAAGGAGGAGGCGATTCGTATATCTCCTCGATATAATTCCAACTCTCAATCGCTGAGCTACTACAGCTCGAATTACTTAAGAGTTATTTATGCTTTACTATAAATAAAGAAATTATATTGATGAGCTGTTAATGTCTTGTGTCTCAGCCCTAAGGGTGTTCCAAGCCATTCAACGACTTTCCAAGCCAATGCTTAGTTCGGAAGGTCGCGCACAACTGTACTAGATTTTGGGTGTTGATGTCTCAAATGGTTCCAAGAGCAACTTCAAGTCGAGTGTAACTTCCCGCAGAACCAGGAACAAGGCTCCAAGCATCTATTTCAGCTCATCATGTATGTACATAGTAAACTGCTGTACATAATACGTGGCCACCACAAGGAGGGAAAACCGCTGCATATCCTGCTACTCCTAATATCCTCCCATCTACATAGCCACTCAGGACTGCCCCATCTCCTCACGTGTAATAACGGGGGGTTGCAAGACCGAGTCTCGTTATCCCCGCTGGCTGTTCTGACAGGCGTTCAGGACTGGCCCGGAACCATACGCACGTCAATTGAGTGCCAGCTGCTAACATGGGCGTGTGAGAGCTCCATTTTCTAGGAACGCAAACGGCACTGTCCGCATCGCTTGTGTTGGGCACAATTTCTGGATTAACCATCGCGTGTAATCAATACGAGAAATATTTATTGAAATTGCACGAATCGTTTGTAGAGATATTGAGATAATCATAATACCGCTGTCCGAGTCGCTGACGTTTTTTCAACAGTGTAAAAAAATATCATACACGAATCGTTTGAAAGGGTTTTGAAAAAGTTAAATTCGGTTATAATCAGTCGAGGGAATCTACCCATAAGTTCGATGCGACTAGTTCGAAACTGCTGGCAAAATTTGTAGCTCTATTCTCAGCTCTTCCTGAATATTCTATTCGACATTTTCAGTAATTTGGAGTAATGGATGAGCGCTAACAGTAAAACACGTGACTGTTGGCCGTTATTTATCATGAGCTGACGTTGCTCAGGCTGTGTGGATCAGTCCAAGCAGCCCCGAAGACTCGTAAGCGTCGTTGTCGACTAAGGACATTCTCGCAGGAACGACAGTGCGCGCCAGCCAATTAAGGACACGTGGTTTTTCAAGCAGAAAATTCCGTCAATCACATTTCATTATTCATGATCACGTCTTCGTTGTGAAGTGTGATTGGCGGAATATTTCTTGGAACCCTAGCCTGAGCCACAATTGATCTTCCCAACGTTGCGCGCCAAAACCACTTTTTGGCATGTGCCAATGAAATATGGTACATTCACCAATTTGACCTGCTCGTCGCATATTGTTGCCCCTTGCGGTACGTCAATGTCATACCTAACACCTATGAGTCATCGCTGATAAGCATCAATTAGAATGGGAAAAGGTCCTCTCTTGGGCCCAGAAGAGCGCGCGTCCATCTCGGCTTTTCGACGCTGTGGTCTTTCACTACGGCGGATCGAAGTCGAGATGGGACGCAGCAAAACAAATATTGCTGCATACCTTAAAGACCCCGAGGCCTATGGCCAACGTTTTCAAGGTATGAAAAAGTTTGCTCTTGTTGGCAGAGAGGAACGCTTTCTTCTTCGTGAGGCCTCCAACACTGGCCAATGAGCGAGAAGACTCAAAACAACTCTCAACATCTCAGCGTCTCTTCGCACAGTTCAACGACGTCTTAAGGAGGCCATCAACCTCAAGTATGAAAAGCGAAAGTACACCCCAAAACTCGGCAAGGCCCACGTGAAGCCAGGGTCAAGTACACCAAAGGCAACCTCCGAGAGTCACCCAATTGGACTGAAATCATTTAGTCTGACGAGAAAAAATTCAATCTCGATGGACCAGATGGTTTTCAGTACTATTGGCATGACCTTCAGAAAGAGCCTGAATCGTACTTGACCCGCCAAAAAGGCGGCGACAGAGTCATGGTTTGGGGAGCTTTTTCGGGTGCTGTGTGTCCGAGCTTGCCTTCT